TGCATGCTTGATACTTTTCATCTGTTCTGTACCATACAGGACTTGCAGGTTTTTCAATTCACACTGTGTCTTCAAACTTTTCTTGAAGGAGTAACAAACGTCAACCAGGACCTCCTCAACTTGGGGGAGACAGGAAGCCCCACTTTTTTAGCTGCAAGATGCATCAGATGGAGGCAGGGTCATGCCAGATAAATGTCTTGCTCTCCTTTAATAAAACTGTATACTTCATTGTATTGGCCAGTCATCACATTGGCATTGTCACAGCCTAATGCAATGCAGTTTACCCATTGTATTGGCCAGTCATCACAATGACATTGTCACAGCCTAATGCAATGCAGTTTACCCATTGTATTGGCCAGTCATCACAATGACATCGTCACAGCCAAATGCAATGCAGTTTACCCATGAAATGCCCTGTGAATTCAATTCATCTGCCATGATCTTAAATATATATTCTGTCCTGTGGCTGAGGATGCTTTGTACACCTGCAAAGCTGGGAGATGAGAATTTACAAGGCCACCCTATCCTTCAATGGTGACCTCTGGAGAGTACTGCTTTTTGTCCGAGTCTTTACTACCATCAGTAGCAATACTGAATGGCAAGCTCGGCATCCTAATGGCTAATTTCTTCATTAGTCATTGTAGACATTTCTAAAATCATAGCTGTTGTTATATCTCTGCCACATTTTATATCTGATATGAATAAAAGAAAATTAAATAAAAAGATATTAATGAAAATATCTGGTATGACAATAAAATAATTATTCCTATGGCAAAAATCATCTTTAAAGCTGCACTCAGAAATGTGCTCTTTTTATTTTATTAAAACATAGCTTCTACACAAGCTACTTGATTTTGGAAAAGTGATTTTGAATTTAATATTTGACAAAAAGATGTCAAGGATGTACTTTTTACTTAGTGCTTCTTTAAAGAACTTACAGGCTTTGATTTCAAAATGTTTTTTGCAATCTTTTTGACACTCAATAACTACAGCAAGTCGTTGAGGGTATATATTGTTTAAGGGTAGGCACTTTGATTAAAATTTCAAAACATTTTTAAAAATATATAATCACTACAGCTGTATAGAGCCTGGAGAATAGATTACAAAAACACCAAGATCAACTTTCTAGCTCAAGTGGTTCAAAAGTTATGAATTTTTTAGTAGGGACCTCAAAGGCACTTTTTTTACTATGGGATTTTCCTCCACATTTCGTGACCCTCAATTTGCCATTTTTTGAATGCCTATAACTTTATTGTAAAATGAGACAAAAATATAATATTTACAGGGAACATAGTTAAATAAGAGTACTTCTAAATAAAGCCAAAAAATATAAGTTAGTTTTTGTTAATATTCCGCAAAATTTTTTTTAAAAAACTTGATTTTTTCCTTTTAAAACATGTATAAATATGCTGACTCGTCACTTATTTGAAATTAATTAATTAATTTTGTTTAAATATTTTTTTAAAAATTTCCCTAGAATCATAATAACAATAATATTCTTTAGATATAAATTTCAAATTTTCTGTGGAATTGTTTAACATTTATAAGTATAAACTAATAATAAAGGGATCACTTGTTTCATTTAGTTAATATTTACGATTACACTTTTTATTTTACCATTTTCTATATATGTATTTTAGTCCCATATCATATGAATGTCTGAATATGACAAAAAAATAGTATGTCATTTTTTTACAAGTTATTAATCTTGTTTCACAAATTAACATGCATTGATAGAATCAACTTTGGTGGTTTATACAAACTAAAATAAGTTCTAGTCATTTGCTTGTGGTAAGTATAAGTTTTTATGATTGTTCTTTAATATTATTAATAATATCTTAAGTAATTCTTGGACTATTGTGGCAGAAAGTGTGTTTTTTCTTTGAGAATACAAGGATTATGTAATAATTCTCTTGTGAAATATTGTGATATGTGATTAAATATAGGATATTTCAATATGAAAGGTAAGTGACTATTTTTTTTTTTACATTTTTGCTTAATCTATTCATGAAGAATCATAATATTCATTAAAATATCATTACCAATAACAAATAATGTGTCACACAAATAATGAGTTGGGCAGGAGCTAGGCCTATACTTAAAATACTATACTTTTCTAGGCCTGTATATATATACAACTTTTATATTTAATATATTAATTATAATAAAAATGAGGCTAATAATAATTCAGTTTAACCCACTACCCAAGTCAATACCCTTCAATAAAAGCATCAAAACAAGTTAAAAAAATATATTTATGTTGTTTAGATAGGTATCTGTGTTATTAAATTATTTGTTTTTGTTTTTGAAAAAGTTATTTTGGAGTAATAAGCTGGATTTCCATTGTAAATCAAGTTATTTACTTTTATTTTTTATTATTAAAAATCGTTATCGATAATAGGTCATTTTGGGACACACGTGACAAAAATTTGGTAGGCATTTTTAGACCATTGAACTGGGTGCTAACCTCTTGAATTTTTTATATGTTGTAATTTATGCTATTATCTCCCGTCGTCTTTTTATTTAAGAAAGACACCCTTTCCAGAAAAAAAATATGAATGAGTCAAATAAGCATTATTTTACCTTCAATTTTCAAAGTTAAGACATCAAATATTTTTTAGAACAAAAGTGTCTAATCATAAAACAACATGTCTACTCAAAGTTGTGGGCAGAAATAGAATGTTCTTGCAGGGCTATAATTAGCAAAAAAATCGTAAACAACGAGGGTCTCGGTAAATTAAAAAGTGGAGGTCGCCATTTTGTTAACGAAATCACGATACCCGGTTTTCGGCAATTCGCGGATCTCATCGAAGTGGCTATTTAAGGGATAGAGCTGTTTTGTGGGTTCTAAAAATATATTTCAATATTTCAAAGTCAAATTCAAATGTCAAATGCGACTAACCCAGTGCAGAACAGTTGGATAATGTATTTTATTTGAAAAATCTTCTCTAGTTTTCTCCGTTTTCACAATTGCGGTTCTGGCGATCAAAATAATTATGTAACAAAACTACATCACACGCCTGGTAGCAGAAAAAGGGGATGGTCGAGTGAAGTTATTGCGAGGGCAACTAGACTAAATATTACTGTTGACTGTTGACGTATCTAGATCTAGGTAGTTCATTGTGACGCACAAAGCATCAATATGACCATCATTACCAGCAATACGATAGGTTCAGGTGAAATTTTTATGGCATTCGAATTTTTATTGCCTTTGACACACCCACCTATCCCCCTATCCAAGCGTTGGTAAATGGTCATTGTGGATGCCACTATTTACTCAATGGCCGCCATCTTGGTTGACAACACGTGAAGTCACGTGAAGTGTCAACCAAGATGGCAGCTAAAAAAGTAGAGCAAAACACGTGTTATTAAAAACCCTAACCCTATATCTATCCCGGGCAAAATCTTTTTAAAAATCAATGAAATTTCAATAATTCTTTATTCACTCCTTATGCATGAGAATCTTGTATTTGGGGAGGATACACAATTTTTATAGCATTTAAAAATTCTCTCATTTAAAATCTTTTACCACATAAGTGTCGCCACATCTATTCAAATAAATATGAGTTGAACTGCTCCTCCCCAGGGCAGGTTCTTGTGGGCAGAGATCGTTTAATTGCACTCTGTATTTTCTGAAAATCATAGAATTGGCGGGTCTCGGAGTACAACCATCCTCCTCATCCTCATGTCCCTTAGTCCTTGGACCGTTGGGGCGTCACAGATGACATGTGAACCATCCTCCTCCATTCCTCTCCGTCTTCAGCACTACCCACTGCATCGCCCAGTGTTAGTCCTGTCCACACTTTGATGTTATCCTTCCATCTTTTTCTTTGTCTTCCTCCTCTTCTCCCTCCTCTTGTGGTCCCCTGCAATATTTCTTTGGCAAGCCCTTGTTTCCTTGTTACGTGGCTGTACCATTGTGTTTTGGATTTTTTCACAGACACCAGTAGGTCATCGTACTCCCCAATTGCCTACGAACCCTTTCTTTCACTGATTCATTGGAGATATGGTCCCTATAGCAGATGCCAAAATGCGTCTGAAGCATCTCTTCTCCATCACCTTTATTTTCCTTTCAAGATCGGCTGTTAACTCAAGCCTTCAAACCCCGAGTGCATAATTTCCTCATCACCACCAGTAACAGAAACATTGCAAATCCCATCTACATGCATAGGAGCCAAAATGATCAATAAATTGATCGTGGGCCCTTAAGATATAGAAGAAGAAGAAGAACTCTTTCCCTCCGGATCAACGCTCCCATCGTCGATTTGAAATGAAGATTTCGGCGTATCGACGATGGGATCGTCGATGTATTAAAATCTGTTTATTTCGGGTCTTTTCTTAGCTATTAGTATTTAGTTTTTTTTAAATCAATTCTAGAATGATTTCCCTTTCATAAACATCCGGTTTTTCTGTGTACGAAGAACGAATTGTTTGAAGCGGTTGTTTTGATTGTCCATTTTATTTTTGTTTACAAACATGAAATCTTGACCTGACCCATCTGGTGATCAATCTAATAAAGGTGGAAAATATTACTCTGATGATGATTCAGACAGTGATTTTATGATTTCAAATGCAGAGGCTGATTCTGTTGAATCGTATGATTATAAACCTAGTAATAGTATTAGTACTAGTGACAAAATAATGAAATTGGTAATTCATCAGCTAATGAACAACCAGCCCCGCCCCCCAGCTAAAGGGCTCATCCATATGGATTGTTTTTTATTGCTAAACCCAGATGGAAATATGTGACTAATGTATGGTAAATTCTCCATTTACTATTATGAATTTTAGTGAATACAAGGATACAGTGCAATTATTTTTTACATAGCAACAGTAACAGATTGTTTCCAGTGGAATTAGTAATTAGTTAAATTTTTTTGCTAATTTTTTGTGTGGGGGTGACAATGGATAATGTGCTCTGAGGTTTAATTTTTTCTTTTTTGAAAGTCGATCTTTATTATTTGTGATGCACATATGGATATAGTTCAGAAAAAAAACATTTTTGTTACACTTTGGATGATATATTTCTCTTCGTGTGACTTCGAATGAGCGTTTTGTGAACATTTGGTGAGTTTTTTAAAATAAATTTTTCTTTTCCTTAAATCACAATCACATTTATTTATTAAAATTTAAACCCAAATCTTGTTTGCTTGCCAAGCGCATGCATTTCCCATTAAATTCTGTACCAATATTAACATTTTCTGATTAAAAATAAAAAAAGTTATGAAGGTTTAGAGAAAACATAGTAGTGCATACTTAAATAAATTTTTGGTCTATTTTTGTCTATTTTTTTTTTTAACCAATCAATCCAGGGGGGGGGGGGAAGTGCCTCCCCCCCTTGCCCCTACATGCGGGCGCCCATGTGTTGGGTTTTCAATGTCCTGTCTTAAAATTTGTAACAGTTTCGATTTCTTTCTCAATAAATAGCTGGTGATTTACTAAGACTAAGAGGCGAAAAGCAGGAAAGTAATGAAATATATGTCAGTAGCGAAATAAACACCATTGCAAACAGATGAATAACAGAGCAATTTGGTTCCATCCAGATACATAAAATCACTAACACTGCCTCTCATTTTACTCACCACAGACCAGAGTCAACTTAGCTGGCATCTAAATAATTAAGTGCCATCTATCAAACTAGAGCTGACCAACCATGGGCGCCCGCAGGGGGGGGGCAAGGGGGGAACCCCCCCCCCCCCCCGGAATGATTGGATAAAATTTTTTTAGACAAAAATAGACCAAACATTTATTTAAGTAAAGAGAAAGTAACTAAGCTGATGTCCTGTCCGTTCGCTCACCATACACATACGCTACAGTAAATTAAAACTATATTAAAACATTACTAAAAAAAATTTTGCCCTCCCCCCCCCGGAAAGTTAATCGATTTTTTTGCCCCCCCCCTCCGAAAGTTTTCTGCGGGCGCCCATGTGACCAACCACAGACCATTTAAATAGCTTATTTGCCTACTATGACTCACAATTGTCGAGAAAAGGTCAATCCACTTGCATAGGAAGGGGGCTGTGGAGGGGGTGGTCCACACAGGTGCCACTTTTTAAAAAATTTATATTGAGGGGCGGCATTCTCGACGAGCTGAAGTTTTTTTGTTTTGTTTTTTTTTAAAACTTAGTGGTAGTGGGTGGCACAACTTTCTAGTTAACATATCCCTGGTCCGCTCGAAACGTTTCCCAGATCTGCTCATTATGAGGACACTTAACACATCACCCAACGCTTGGACATTGGTCGCTCTCTCAGTCTCTGTTGTTGGTGGAATTCTATTACGTAGCCGAGTCTCTCGCCTCGCACCTTTTTTTGCCCATGCGCCGTTTACCTGGTCTGGCCTGCTGATTACCGATACCAAAGTCATTCTCTGATACACTAAAGTAATACGTCGGCATAGCTAGAGCGAAGTGGCCTCCACGACCTTGCCATGTTTCTGTTTAGTAAGGCTGTGGGCAGCAACGCAGTCGCCGCGGCTTACCCGTGTATAGGTTTACTTTAAGCAGATTTCTGATCGTTAATGCTGCATAAATTTTATGGTTTGTGTCCACTGCGGTGGCCGCGCAAATGAACGCAGGACAAGTAAACCCACAACTCACCATAAAACATCCAAACACAAGACTAGTGAACCAACAGACAAGTTAACACGCAGAAAAGTGAATATCGGTAAATGTTTCAGAACTTTTTATTGAAGTATTTTTTTTATTAGGTTCGTGTGTTAATTTATTTTTCAATCTTTTCTGTCTTAGTTTCTGATTGTTTTTTAATTCATGAATGATATTTGTACATGGTGTATGCATCCTATATCGTTCATGCAGCCCTCTAATTTAAAAAAACAACACAATTTTATACTTTTTTTTCATTTTTCTCAATTTTGCATTTTCCGGATTTTTTAGGAACGCCAAATGAATTGGGAGGAAAAGTATTCTAGCTACAGCCTTCAAACATTGCATGCTTCTTTTCATTGATATTCTTTACAAAATTCAAGAGGCATTTTTTTTATATACCGGGTATATCCAACTAGAAAAGGCTTATAAATAAAATTTTTACATTTGCTACTCCTGAAGAGTTCTCGAATATTTATGTGACCCCCCCTCATACATGCCATTTGTAACACTTCCAATAACTGCTGTGTAATAAGCTTCTTTAAACTTTATGTCAATGTTATTCTTAATGTGTATGCCAAGTTTCATTTAAAATACAGTACAATAAGTTACAATACAATGCAATACAAATTTGTCTTTATTCATTCTGCTTAAAAGTCAAATTTGATATAAAATGTTTAATTTTTTGCAATAAAAGTCACAACAAATTTTTTTAAAATAAACTTTAGTGGATTTTTGTCTTTCTGTTTGTGTATGGTTTGTATGTACTATATTTTTTTCAATGGCTCTATTTATTTAGGGTTATCAGTATTTTATTTTCAATGTGGCATGACTTAGTTGCCTTGAAACCAAACTCCCTTCACAGATCACATATATTTGCTCCCACTCAATCATTACATCTGTACTTAAATGAAGAAATGATACAAACAATAGTTAACTGTACGGGTACCAACAAGGAATGTGAGAAAGTAAAAGGAGACAAATGGCAAAGGAATGATGTGACCTAATTGAATGAGTTTATTGGCTGCCTACTCCTTACTGGCCCCTAATTTATTTTATGGATTACTTGAGTACACAACTCAAATAAATAACAACCAAACAAAAATGTTCTCAAGTCAGTTAAGGTTTTTTTTTTTATATTAAATTTTAAATTATGTACCAGTGTGTTAGACCCAGTAGACAGATATGGTAAAAAAAAAAAGACAAGACCTCCAAAATAATTCTCTTTCTCATGCTTTATACAATGGCATCCTTTAATTTTAAGATGTTCATTGCAACTACCTTGTGAATTAGGTTAAGTCAAATGAGAAAAGTTGTGGAAAGGAGATTCGAGATATCAGAAAAAACAGTCAGTGTCCACATGTATGACTCCCACTGCCAAGGAAAAAGTTTAAAATTGGTGGTTTTGTTCTGACTAAGCAAAGCTCTCTAGAGGAATAGTTGAAATTAATTCATTATGAATGCAATTTTTATTATTTAGAATACCTATTAATTCATAAAGTACTGTGTGATTAAATCTTTTAACTTAAACAATCAATACACATAAATAATCTTAAGTAAAGGATTTAATTTTAATAATTAAATTAATATTATTACTTTTCTAAAATTCAAATGAAAACAAAAATGTATCTAAATCATCTTCATTACTAGATGATCTACGAAAATGGCTTAAACTAAAAAAGAAAATAGGAAAGAAAAAAAAATCTACCCGTCCTAAGAGAAATTAACAAAGCAAAAAAAAAAAAACTAAAAAGAATAAAACTATGAATCTATGAAATAACAAGGAGAAAAAAAAACAATTTAAAAAAAATAATTCTCATACTATTATTGTTATCACCCCCGGCTCCGAAGCCATTTAATCTGTACGGAGCCACTCTGGGTGCGAATAGTCATTTGCGATTAAAGGTACCCGGGTACCTATAGATGCAGCCTTAGATATTATAATTATAATATTTTCACCAGCTGCCTGACTTGGAATAAGTTGATTTTCTATAAAAGAAACTTCACCAGGGCTTTGGCTTTGTAGTTTCATCAGATACACTTAAAGCGGAAATGCATTATTGTTTGGTGCATACGGACAGGTGCAATAAACTATAATAATACAAATGAGAAACATGTAGGCCTACTTTTTGTAAAATAACATTCATTTTTATTAGACTTTAAAAAGTGACTTAGCTACACATTGTGAAGATGCAACTCTGTCTAAAGGATGTCTCTCTCGTAACATTTGTTATAACACTGTAAGTCTAAGGCTAACCTAACTTTCAACCACATTTGTAATTCTACTTAAATTTACATTTATAAGTCCCCTCACACCCTAGTAAACCATATAGATGAAGTAATTTTAAAAAGCTGTTAATTTAACTTGAATTGCTTTGTGCTTTAAAATATTTGTAGACTATTTCAACCAACTTCCATAAAAGAGATGAAATTTTGTAAAAATCGCCTAGACTCTGATGACTGTGGAGTAATGCATTTTCATGGAGCCATATAGCCCTCCCCCCGTAAAAAACAATTCATCATATCCAATGGTTCATGTAACTGAAATTCGAACTGTGGATGTGGCCTCTTCTCATCATAGCACACTAAGACTTTTTAATGAATTACTAAAGTAGGCCTATATGACTTTACAATTAAAGAAATAACTTTTGCATTTAAAAAGTAGTCTTTTCCCAATTTACTTTTATTTTATACTTGATAATACTTTATCATCGTATAGTCTATGCCCATACTAATTTTGTGAACTTTGCTTATATTATCGCTTAACTGTGAGTAATACATATTCCGAATTTAGTTCATTAGTAATTTCAGCAGACTACATCTGTCTGTTTTATCTGCAATTCAGTGTTATTACCAAAAAAAAAAAAAAAAAAAAATACACAAAAAACATGCAATAGGTTTAAAATGATTAAGTTTGCGTACTGATACCTAAAATTGTTTGTTATATTCCGAATTTAGTTCATTAGTAATTTCAGCAGACTACATCTGTCTGTTTTATCTGCAATTCAGCGTTATTACCAAAAAAAAAAAAAAAAAAAAATACACAAAAAACATGCAATAGGTTTAAAATGAGTAAGTTTGCGTACTGATACCTAAAATTGTTTGTTCACTACGAAGTTTGTAGGGGTACCCCAGAAAAATTCCTTAACCCAGATTTAGCATCTCAGTAGTTATTATTTTATTTGAAATCCAATAGGTGTTTTTAATGATTATTAATTAGTTATTAATTATAACAAAATATAAACTAAGGAAGTTTATTTTTTTTAAAAAATAAAAATAATACTAAAAAGAAAACTAAAATAAATGCAACTGTCAAAATTATATTATATTTTTTTTTTAAAAGCAAAATCTGGTTTTAACAATAATGGTGGACTGCTATGTAGTCAACAATCGAGGATAAAGGAAAACAAAGTCAAACTTGATGAAGGATGACTTGAATGAATCCGATTCTTGTTAACACTACAATGGCTGCCCAGGAGAAGGCTAACAGATTTGTTGATTATTTTGTTATATGTGGGCTAGATGAATCAAGTGACTTGGAGCCAGATAAACTTGCAGGTAACATAATTTTTATTTGATTTAATTTGTGTCTGTACTGTAGTAGAACTATAATATAATTTATTAGAATAATAGTAATAATACATACTAATACTAATAATAGTTTTGTGAGTATCGAGTCTTCAGTTCTTATTCAACTTAAATAGACTATTCAAAATACAATACAATCAATAGTGAAAACTCAGTAAATAACAGTAATAAGTCAATTCAATAACAATTCAATATAATATGACACATGATTATCCTGTTGTATTGTTTACAATCCAATTGTGAATTAGGAACTTAGATTTACAATGATCAATGATAAAATAAGGGATGGTGGGGGAAAGACTCAAGACTGCAATCAGTGTTACTGTGTGTTTAGGTAGAAGGAAATATGTGAAACAAGGTAGATAAAACATTCATGAAGAAAAAAAGGTCTCAACCAAACAACCATTGAATTGGCCTTCTTCATCAAACTCAAAAAAAAAAAGACTAAATTTAAAAATTAAAAAAATGATTCTCTCATTTGTCGTTTTCTGTCACCATTATTAATTTTTATGCTTTTTGTGTTAAGGCAATTTTTAATCAGAGATAACTCAGACAGCATTGAGTTAAATAGATTATACAAAACATTGGGGTATTAGCTCTGAATCTTTTTGTTGTATTCTGTTAGCATTATTAATTTTTATGACTCGTTGTTTAAGACAATTTTTTATCAGAGATAACTCAGACAGCGTTGAATTAAAATAGACCGTACAAAACATTGGGGAGGGGGGAGGATTGAATTATGGATAATGGATACAATATTATAAATTGATTTTTCAATGAATACCATGGAAATAGCTATCAAGCTAGCAACTTGATCTTCTTCATTGATTATCAGTACATCATATAAAATATTACTACATTCCAAATGAATTGGCTCATGAAAACAATTTCAATAATCAATGCATTTGAAAGAAAAAAGTGATAAAATAAATAAAAATGAAAAAGTTGTGCCATTTAACAGAAGCAAACAATTTAAATGAACACAAAAGTCATTTGTACCTCCGATGCATTATTTTCTATAGGTGATACACAGCAAAGCCCTCCTCTTGAGCGTCCATATAAGTCAGTTGTTCTTGCCCATTTTCCAGAGTCAGTAACATGGAATCCTTTTGATGAAAATGCTGTTGGAATGGTACTTTTTTATGCAGTTTAAATCATTTTAAATATTAGGTTGAATAATAGATCCTTTGTGAGTTAATAATATCTTTACTCATAAATATCTTGAAAATATATCTTAATTGAAGATAGCCCTTGTAATAAAAATGTTTTTAAAGATTACTGTACATTTTCTTTTGCAAAATTATATTATATTTTATGATGGACTTTATTTTTCAGGACTAAAATTGATCGATGCTTAATTGAAAATTGAGACTAGAACCAAAATTAAATTATTTTTAATGCAGCTCAATTCCATTGAGATTTTTAATTATTTAGTAATAAGTTCAGGTCTAATGACACATGTCTTATCAAGTGTTGATTAACAAGGTATAAACCTATTCACCACTTACTTTCATCAGCTATGTTTGCCCAGAGGCTTATCCTTCAAGACCCAGTGGGACTCACGGCATCCAAAGTTTCATTCGTTTACCATTACTCGCGAGGATGGTTCCAGGTCGTATGGTTCAGCACTTGTATTTTATGAAGAGGTCACAACTAAGTCTGTGCTTGACACCATGCAGACGTTACACGCCATGCACCAGGCAAACACAGCTGTTAAGTTTTCAATTGACAGTCCAGAGCCTGTTAAAAAAATCATGTCTGAACGCAAGGATAAACAATCTTCCTTTGATGCCAACCGTGACAAACTTTATGTCAGTAAATGCATTTGTTTAGTCACACCCTTCCCATTTGTGAGGTAAGTGTAATTAGTTTGTAAAAAAAAAAACTCTTAGCAAAAGTCAGATCGATTCTGTGATTTAATAAAAAAAAATTTGTTACCAAATTTAGTTTATTAACTGCTTTGTGACCATCTGTGAATATATTTTTGAATACAATACCTGTGTTCATGAAGATGGGAAATACACTGCTGGGTTAATAAATTTGTTCATTTACAGTTATGGGCTCTTGAAATCATGTATTTTACCCTGGCCATATACACTGCTTTTTTTTTATATTATTTTTGGGATGATATTTTTTATTGATGAGCACCTAATGCATGTCCAGAAGCTTGGAGTTTGGGAAAAAAAGTACATTGCCCGGTTTGTCACTCAACCAATTGTCCGGTTTGTCACTTAACCAACAAGTAAACAAGTAAATTGAATAGCTTCAAAATAAATACATTAGTTTTAACATTTTTCAGATCTTGTCAGCAATTTTTACATCAGCTTTATGAGGCTTCGCAGAAACCCAGTCAGCTTGCAATGACACTAGAATCCTATGTTTTTAATGTGATCTACGATGTGCCGCTTCCACCATGTGGGCGGAGTTTGCAGTTTTATGGCTGTTCCAGCCCCGTTTACGTTTTTAGACCAAGTAAGTCTTCTTTTGTAATATGGTCATCAGTTTCCAGGTTTATGGCTGTCCCAGCCCTATTTATGTTTTTAGACCAAGTAAGTCTTCTTATGTAATAGTGGTCATCAGAGCGCTTAAATGAACTTGAAAAATGTATGTCACACACTCCCCAGCCATTATTAAAAACATGATGCTTATTTCTGCCTCTGTAAAGTTTAATATAAAATTTAAAAAAAAAAAAAGAGCCTCCCAAATACCTTATTTGCCAGAAACCACCATAGCACCAGCATAGTACCACCATAGCACCAGCATAGTACCACCATAGCACCAGTATAGTACCACATAGCACCAGCATAGTACCACCATAGCACCAGTATCTCAGCTCTTTTGTGTCCATTACAATAAATAGTAACAGTAAATCATTGATTTTATAACTTTCTTTCCTCCCCACAGGTACCCAAGAATTACCTTTGTTTGATTTCTCTCTCTATGACATGTTTAAGTTACTGGGTGTAGATGGTGTGGTAGATATCTTCAAATGTGTGCTCCTTGAGCACCAGATCCTCTTGTATTCATCTGGTAAGTGATAGAGGTTTCTTTGAAACTTATGTACCCCATGCAAATAAATAAGGCGTTGAGATTTTGTATCAATGATAAGAAGTAAAGGAAATATTTCTCTTCCTAAATAATCTGGCCCTTAAAGTTTCTTTAGTTTGCGTTCCATTTACCCATGATTTCTACTAAACCACCATTATACCTAGAGTAATGAAATACTTTCCTCAACTTAAGACAGCTTGTGCTGTAAAATTTTGATTTGAGTAAATTTAATTATTTCGTAATGGTGAGCTTTAAGTTTGAAAAGATCCTAATGTTTTTATGCTTCATTTTGCAATCTTGCATGCCTAATGAATCTCCATGTGTTTTGTATAATTATTGTCTGGCAACAGACAAGTAAAAAAAAAAAGTGTTAAATTAAAAATAATAAATTGTATTGAACGTCTGCAATGACCAGCAAATTCATATCTAAACAATTATTGTGGCAGATTACCAGCGACTTATGCTTGTGGCAGAGGGCATGTGTGCACTAGTGTTTCCCTTCCAGTGGCAACTAGTCTATGTGCCTATATTACCAGCGTCGATGCAACATTTTCTGGATGCACCTGTGCCATTCATAATGGGGCTTTACAGAGTGTCCAACACAGACAAGTCACAATTGGTGCTTCCATCTGAGGTAAACTGACTCCAGTAACTTATTACCTGGAGGAACACTAAATTTGATCTGAGATTAAATCATTATTGATAAAAGTTTGTACAACTGATTTTTTGGGTTTCACAGGTTTAAAAATAGTAAATATACATATTACATTTACTTATCAATTCCATTGGTTTAGCCTTAAGGATATTTTTATCAGTAAGCTGTATGATTTTAATGTATAGTTTCTGGTTGTAAAGTTTTGTCTAGTTTGGGCTTATGTTTGTACCAATGCATTACTTGAGTAACATATCGTACTTGACTTTGTAACATACAAAACACTTTTATTAATTAAAGTTGAAAGTCTGTTGTATTGCTGCTATTTTTTACTATTCTGTCATCACCTCAATGTGCCTATTAAATATTTTATGTCTCTTACTCTATTCCTTAGGCCAACATGTGTTTTGTGGATATAGACAATAAGGCACCTGAGTTTCCAGAAGACCTCCCCATGTTTCCATACCAGAATGATCTTAAGATTGAGCTTACTCAGGTTATCAACAGGTACCAAAACCTTATTGGTGCAGAGAAAATGTCTCGGAGTTATCCCACAACTCCTCGCAGAGAGGCTGGATTAAAAGCCTCAACCGGCCTACGGCAAGAGGAGCCGTCCAACGCGAACACTAGCAGTTGGCCTAACTCTCCGAAACGTAAAGAAATTTTACAAAACAGTGAAGCATGGAAGAAAATTTCTAGTCTTGCTAAAAAGACAGGAGTGTGGGACTCTATTGAAGAGATAGTTTTAGAGGAACCAACGCAAGCTGCAGATGTAGACAGGGAGACACTAGACGTGCAGGACACCTCTAGTGCCATGCCCATGTCAGAAATCAACAACCTCAAGTTCAACAATGCCGTACGGGAAATATTCCTCAACTGCTTTGTTCACATGTTTGCTTCCTATGAGAACTTCGTCATCAACCCATCTCAAGACCTGGAGTCTTGGCTCAGTAACAGGGAAACCATACACAATTTCGACAAGGCAGCCTTTCTCAGTGATCAGCCTACAGCACACCTTCCATTCCTTTCAGCCTTCATTGAAACCCAAATGTTCACCACTCTGATGGACAATAAAATAATCTCACAGTGGGGGGACACTGATCCAGGCCTTCAGTTGTTTGATGCCAGAATCAAGGACCTAAAGGAAGCGGCAGGAGGAGAGCCTAGGATCATTACTTACAATCCTTGCAGTACGATAGAAGAAACTGGTATTGAAAATTCAATTTCAGTTAATTTTCATAGGGCTCAACTAATCTATACTTTAAACCAAGTTTAGAAATTTATCAAAATTTTAAAAAATTAATTTTCATTTTAAAAAAAAATCCCTTTACTTTAATCTTATGGGTTTATCAAAATTACACTTTAATTTAGTACTATTGACACATTGCTTTGTTTATATTCAAGTTGATAGTTTTCATGAAATATATTACTTGTATATATATGTATTATTATTTAAATATATTTATATATGAGCAGTCGTTCATCTTCTTTAGAAGTTGATTTTCAGATTGTTCTATTTTTTATAAAATTCCTATAAACAAAAAAAATTAACAAAAAATTGTGATTGACGTGTGTTAAAACATAAAATGCCTGTGCAAATACATCATTTTTGGTTGTGGTCTTGTAGAGCAGTACATTGAAAAGAAAGCACGGAACATTAACTTTGTGGCCACTAAGCCACATGAAATAGCCAGTCACATTTCACCAAGTCAGTATGTCAGTGGTGTGTTCCCACTGCTGAGCACAGAGCTGTTGAATTCTGAGCCTGCAAACTCCAAGTAAGACTTTTTCGGAATGTGTTTCAGTCTTCAGTTATTTTGTGAATTGTAATTCTCCTCCTCTCAATCCAATATCAAATTTAGTGCTTCAGGTGGCATAACTGAAACTCAATTTGCCCGGATTAAATAGATACTTATGACTACTGACTTTAAATCAAGGAGAATTAAAAAACAAAATAGAAATTTTCGTATTATTTTAAAAAAAAAAAAAAAAAAAAATTATTTTCTGGTTATAAGGAAGGAATATGTGTTTATTTCGTTTTTTTTTTTTTTGTGAATGATACTAACGCATAATTTGCTCTCTTTACCAGGTCCAGGTTTAGAGAAAATGCCAAGTGGAGAAGGAAAGACAGACAGTTGCAGCACAAAGAACATTTACAGGCCAACCAGGAAGCAGAACAGCAAGAAGTGAGACTTTTTATTTGTTTTAGGGAATTTCATTACAAATCAGCCCTCATAAATTCTGCTTGGGTTAAGACACAATTCTTTTCAAGAAAGATACTGTAAAATGTCTAAAAACCTTTGGTGATAAATTTGTTAAAGAAAAGATTTGGACTGCTAAAATGTAGAATGAATTTATTCAACACATGGTTCACCCTTAAAGTGCTTATATCTCTTAAAATAATATAGTCACAGTTCTCTGACATTTTTATAAATCACTAATAAAAAAATAAATGGTGATGATTCTATAGTGTTATAGGAAATGTTTCAAATGCAGAGAAAACAAAATAAAATGTTTAAAACAAAAAAAAAACAGCTTTGAATCTATGTGTTGTTGTATTCCCACATCAGCACCTTTAAGTTGATATCTGTTTCAGATCTCATTTGTTTCTCGCACTGCACCATGGGTACTTTTGTACAAAGTTTTAAACTAGTTTTAAGTCAAGATTTTATTTCTTGGTGGTTTTGATCTAAAATATCTTCACAGTCTCTTTGCTCTGCCTGTTTTCCTTTTAAAAATATTATTCATGTCATCCAAGCTTAAATATTTTATCTCATAAAATAAAACTTTTCCCTTCATTATTTTAGTCACAAATTGAATTGTGATCAGTGAATTTTAGAGGTTTGACGAAGAAATTTATTCCCTCTCCTCATCTCAGAATTACCCTTTGACAATGAAAATGGTGCAATTAGCATTTTTAAATAATTACTTAATTTTGCACCTCTAGATTTTTCAACTGATATGAGTATGACAATCTTGTAAAAGTGTACTAATTTTACTTTAAATTATCCCTATGATATGTTTAGATAGCGAATTGTTCATTAAATGCTTAGTCAGAATTTATAATAATTGCACTTGCGTTACTGAAAAGATTATATTATTTGTTTTTGTGGCTTGTTAAAAATGGCCATGAAATAACTGTATTAGCATCATTTGGATTTTTTAAAAAAACAACATTTTCTCACTAGGTAGGATCCCATTTAATTTATGCATTTTTATTTTAAATCAAGTTTACAGTTGAAGAAAAAAAGGCACCATTATGGGTTGTAAGTACTGTTGAGCCACCCCAGTGTTGCCTGAGATAGCAACACTGTTCCTTGTAGCAGGCTATTTATATTTTTACCCATTTGTTTATTATCACACTACTCAATATCTATGGCACTGGTGAAGGATATTTTTAGAGGTTTTTTAAAAAAAATATCTGAAATGTTCTAATAATTTGGGCAAAACTGTATTGGTTGACTAGATTTTCTTGCTTCTTTTCTCTCCCAAGCCTTAATTTTTATTATGCTTTTATTTTTTTTCTCTTTATCTACATTTTGTGTGAATATTGAAAGAGAGACTACTATTTGGCCAATTTAATCAGCTTTAATCAATGCTAAAATATGAATAGCTTACAATCTAAATTTAGACAAAACAGTAAAAAGTGTCAAAGTTTGTGTGGCTTATTATAAAATTAACAAAATGTTTATATATATATAATAAATGATAGTGATATCAATAATTAACAAATAAGAACAAAGTTTTATAATATCTATTGTTGAACTGAAAAGAATGCGACGTTTGAAACAACTTACTAATTAGACCTTTGAGACATTTAAAATTTTACAAACAGGGATCCTTTTTTTTTTTATTGACACATACATTACACATCTTCATTCCTTACTTATTTTTAAATTTAATATCAGTTTCTTCATTTTTCTTCAAATTTATGTAATTTTCTGTCTTTTTATAATTATTTTTCTCCCTGAAACTTATAGAAACAAAAGAAATAAAGAGTGTTGAAAAGAAATACATCTTAGAATATACTTTTTATTTTCTTATACAAATAGACATTAGCAAAGATTTAGCTTGGTATAATTATGGAGAATGACTTTGACTAGCTTAAAGATTACAGCAGAAGCTGTTTATACACAGTTTTCACATAGCTGCTGACAATAACTACTTTTAAAATGGAATGGGTCAATTATAATTTGAATAGGATAAAATAAATATCATACTTTATAGTATAGCGAATTTTTTTTACAATGATTTTAATTATATTCACCATTTAAGCTATTGTGTAGTTAAATTGACTATTTTGCCTCACTTTTTGAAAACTTAAAAAAATATACATTACTAATTTTAGGTAGTATGAAAATTTCTCTCTCTCTATTTATACCACTAACCTCTACAGGTCAAATGATATATACATCAATGTAGTAGACTGCTTTAGCAAATTCAAAAATTGTTGATAACATGGTACTTTAATTGGCTTATACCATTTCAAGAAAAGAAATTAATACAATGCATGCTTGTAAACAATGCAGGGAAATCACTGTCAAATATTATTGTACCCAGACTGAGCTTCAAAGGGGGGATTGGGGGGGGGGGGGCTAAAATTATTACATTATTTATATAAATTAATGCCTTACTTACACTTAAATATTTTTCTGTATATATTATATCAATGAATGATGAATCTAAATGAATAGAACATGAACAGAAGGGCATTCAGAGAACAAACTAAACAAGTGGAAACGGACCCAAACACATTAAATAAAGCCGTTTAAAGATTCTCACACAGATATAATGTATAATTTGTTGTTAGAAGCAAAGAGGCGCTCACTGTTTGTCAAATTTTTTTTTAAAGTTTGTAAGAATTTGTTTAAAAACCTTATTCAGTTGGGCTTGGCTCTATTTTGCTGAGCATATTTACAAACAAAAGGAGTTTAAAAAAAAAACAAAAAAAAACTGCATCTGGAAGTAGGGAAACAAATATAATTTTCATTACCAAAATTATGAGATTCTTTACTTATGTATTTAGTTTAATGTTGACTAATTGTATATCTTGTTTTACATGGTGAAATTTATCTATGATGCAAAAATTCCCTGACATAAGGCTCAAACTAATCACATGAGATTTTCCTCCAAGCTTCAATAATTTTACATTCTCCCATGCACAGAATTAAGATTTTGAGACCTTCTTTTTTCCTCTTTTAGTATTAGTCAATATTTTATAAAATAATATTTATATAAATAACTTTACTATATAGAATGTAAATAATTTAATCAAATATGTGCTGTTAGCCAAAATTGCATTTACTTCATTACACAATTATCTCTTTTTTCTTACTGAAAGTCCACTTGAGTAATCGTTACAGCAACATATGGACTGATTTTTCTCAAAACTGACTTTTGTTAAACAATTATTATTTTGATTTATAAATATCTTTTTAAAAACTGAAGTTTGTATTACTGCTTAATCAGTGCCTAAAATTAGAAGCATTTGAACCTCATTTCTTCATCCCCTTCCTTAGCAATACATGCGTATACGCAAACCACAGCTGCCTGACATGTCCCAAGCTGGTATGGCACAAGCCAACTGGAAGTTTGTGGAGACCTTGCTCAAAGAATGTAAAACAAAGGTTGGACATGACTAATTTTTTTTTTTCATCATTCATAATGAAAGCATATTTAGTTTTCAGTCCAAAGTTAGATTTTCTAAATAGGATTAAAAATATGATTTCTAATGTACAGACCAAAATAAAATATGATTTATAATGTACAGACCAAGAAGATGCTTGTGGAGAAGATGGGCCAGGAGGCAGTGGAACTTGGTCACAGTGAGGCCAGCATCACAGGGGTGGAAGAGAACACTCTGATTGCCAGTTTGTGTGATCTGCTGGAGAGGATATGGAGTCATGGCTTACAAACTAAAAAGGTTTGGGGACCGCTGCTGTGACCGTTGTTGAACATGTGACCTAATTAATAACAGTGTTCAAAACCTTGTGTTGTTGTCCTTAGACAGAGAACATTTTAAGAGCTCTGCAAACATCCTCCCACAGCTATACACCCGTGATGCAGCTATACACACATGACACATCTATGCATGCATGTTGGAACTATACACACATGACTCTTTAGAAAAATTGAAGAAAATGAGAGTAAAATGTTAATTTTAAAATCATATATTAACGTTGCTTTTTTAGTGAGGGTTAAATAAAAGTTTGAAAGCATCGTAACAATAGAACATAAAGATGTTTGTTTAAAGCATTTCTTAGAGTTCTCATTTATTTGATTTATAAAGAAATGTTTTTAAGACAGGCTTTGTTAGGTCAGTAGAATAAATGAATTATAAAGGGGGAAATGGGAAACCAAAGTGTTCTCCAACTTGCAGCAATTAGCTCAGCAGTTTTATACAACAGACATCTCCTCTTCCATTATGTCAGGAGCGATTAGTAACGCCATTTATGCTTTAAGGGAATACTGTATAAGGTTGTAATGAAATTAGTTTAACAGCTGTAAAGATAGATGAGTTTTACTCAAATGCCTTTGACTGGATCAATTCAGGGCAAGTCTGCAGTCTGGTCACACTTGCTGAGCTATCAAGATGCAGAGGAAGGCAATGAAAACAACAAACCAGTGGATCCCAAGCTGTTACAACCAGGTACAAAAAAACAACCCCACCTGTTTCTGCTTCATTTATAATTTTTACCCTTTTGTTTAGAACATCTCCATCGATTACCTGTAACATAGCACTTGTCAATCATTGGATTGTCATTACAGCAGAAACGTTGCTGGTGTCTCAGAAACATTGAAAGTATTTAGTCTTCAAGATCTAGGCATTTTCTAGTTGGTTCGGTATTCTAATCCTGAAGTAATCTTCCGGTCTTTGAGATGACATTATTTATTTAAAATCATATCTTGAAATAAAAATATTGTAGTGGTAGTTGAAAGAACTGTTTACATTTAATTGGTGCTAAGTCTAATAATGTCATAGATTGATTTTTTCATTATTAATAAGAATTATGAAAGAAAAAAATACAGTATTTTAAATTATACATGAAAAATTCATCAGTCTTATTCAGTAGTCATTTGGGCATGTACCATTTTTGCCTGAACTGGCAGTTAAAACTTGTCAGGATTTACTGGTATGGTTAATGTTAAGATTATTATATACTGAGTTATACCGTCTATTTCAAGTTTTAATGACAGTAACAGTTGACAATTTTTTTTTAATGTTATCACCTACTTTGACTTATCACCTACTTTGACTTTCTGCTTTTGTTTGCAGTTTTTCTAATAGATAATGATTTGTAATTTCTTTTATATCTTCCCCCCCCCCCCGCTATCACTAGTCATCTCCCTTTTCCGCTGTTATATTAGGTTATTATTTCACTTGCCCTTTCATTTTTTTTTAATGTTATCTCCTACTTTGACTTATCCCCTACTTTGACTTTCTGCTTTTGTTTGCAGTTTTTCTAATAGATAATGATTTGTAATTTCTTTTATATCTTCCCCCCCCCCGCTATCACTAGTCATCTCCCTTTTCCGCTGTTATATTAGGTTATTATTTCACTTGCCCTTTCCCCTTACCCATCCACTGTCTCTACACAGTCTGATAGCAAATCAAACTCAGCTCGTTATTGACAGCTATGAGTTACCTTTTGTGGTTTGCAAAATAAATATCTCAATCTGTATTCACTAATTAAAAATGGCCTTTCTGGCATATTCATGTCTTCAAACCTATTCTCGTCAACCAGTAGTCACTGAAATACTGTCATTATTGTTTTGGTCATCTGAGGCCATCGTTTCTGAGTTTTGATAATTACTCCACCTTCTCTCCATGAATGTTTGAATTTACTGACATTTTTCAATGTTCTTTTACACCTGGTAAGCCCTGATGTGGCATTAATTAATAACTTTCACTTAGTTATTTATTTTACCTTAATGTTTTAAGAATTTTTTAATGAATTCTTTTGCCTACTGTTTTAATCAGAGAAAAAGAATGTCAATTGGAAGTTTTTTTCTATCATAAAGATTGGAACAAATTTATAGAACAATAATCTAAAAATAATAATAGTCTAATAAAACCAGTAAATAAGTTGCATTATTTCATAATATCAACCACATTATCAGTGCACATTATTTATAAAAATAAATATCATTCATAATCCCACTGCATCTAATAGTTAAAAAAAATTCATCAGAAGAAAATTAATCTTTCTAAAATTTGTTTTTGAACTGTCTGCTAACAACTACATATTTTATTAAAAGTGGGAAGTGTTTTTAATAAAAGACACATCACCAAAAATGATGAACATGTTTATATTCTGCTACAAAAAACAAGAAATCCAATCCAGCCCATTCAAACATCTTTCTATGATCCTATACTTCTCCCCCTTTCTGGCTATTCAAAGGTCTGCCCAAGCGTCATAGCTTGATAGATATCAAATCTTTGGTTGACGGCTCATTCACAATTCTGGGTCGGTCTATTTCTCTGAGCAGTAAGTAGCGACGTAACCAGCACAAACCAGAACCACTGAAGGTTCATGTTGTTGTTTTATATTTTCTTGTGGCCACTTTGCTAGCTGCCTGCTAGTGGCATGCCATGGTCACTCTCTTTACTTAACCACACCTTTACATTATTTAACACAGTGCTCTCAAGAGTATTTAGTGCCTGGTTGTGTTATACTGTTTATTTATTCCTCACTGTTGTCCAACCTGTGTGCTTAATAACTTAGTCTTTTTTAGGTGCAGCTACATTTCTATATGGGTTCTATCTACGGCTTGTTTTATATATACCCAAATATCATATATATAAATAAATATACATAAAAAATAAAAAAATAAACCAGCTATTATACATATTTATATTTGTGTTCTAGATCATTTGCCATCGAGGAATGGACAATTTTAAAAAAAATTTTATTGACATAACAGGACTAGTTTCAAAAATATTTAAAAGCTTATCATTTTGATTTTCGGGAAAGAGGTTGATTTAAACATTTAGAAAAGAAAATTAAAATTCCCATGCAAAATTAAAAAAAACAAAACATTTTAAAGCTTTCTACTGCTTGACAAAATTTGAGTAAATTACTTTTCATAAAAAAAATACATGCATTCAAACCATTTCCTCATTCTAAATTGATCTCAATCCTCCGTAGTGTAATTTGTGTGAACTGGATGAAAATTGGCATATTACATTTGTTGTAACTATTTGTTTTAACAAAGCTGTTGTATTCCTTGCTTTTCTTTTATTATGAAAACCTTCTGCTGATTACCTTAAAACTTGAGATTTTTAGTAGTAATTCTTTTTAGCTTAAAAAAGTAGAACATGTAGCATCTTTATTGGCTGTGTATTTGAATAAATATATATTTTCCCCCGCTCTTTTACTTTACTATTGCCACTCGAATTAAATCTTAAGAAATTAATTTTAATCAATCTTTTAAGAGATTCTATGGTAGAAAAACATACAGCAGAATATTTTTCAAAAGATTCAGAAAAGTGCTCTTTTGCCTATTTTACTGTACAATACCCACCCCACAACATCTGCTAGTTTGTATTGACTTTGTGTCAGCACTTTCAACATCTCTCTGATTCATAGTGTTATTTTTGTAAACATCACTCTGTTTGATGTTATTTTTGTAAACATCACTCTGTTTGATGTTATTTTTGTGCTTAAATTCATGTAACTCAAAGCCAGCTTGGTTTCTAGGCTCCTTTCTTGGCTGAAAATTAAACATCGGTCAGGTAAAAGTTGAACATTTGAGTTGTTGTTTTTTCTCATTATTCTTTTTTCTTAATTCAGGGAACATAAACATAAAAATATATAAAGTTGAATAAGTTATAAGGAACAGACCTGTAAAATAAGTTAAATTGAAAAAAAAAAAGATTATTCAAAAGAATGTCAGTAAATGTTCTGTGTTGTTGCAATTTGTGAAAATATTTTGAATTTATCCTAGAGTTGAATTTGTTCATCAAAGTTCTTTTTTGAAAAAGTTTCAAGTAAATGTTCATGAATTCAAAGTATTTGTATTTCATTATGTTCAGTTTAAGACTTGGATTCTATTAAGGTTCGGCAAATTTGTTCTTGTTTCTGTTTTAATACATTCTAACTTCATTGTCTGTTTTGTATTTACTTTTTTGTTTATTTTAGTCATTCAGGATGAATTTATTATGACTTGGTTTATCATATTATTGTCCCCTGAGCTTGTTGACATAGCTATTTAAGGAATTTTTTTGTCTTTATGGATTGGTTCCAGAAGGAACGTGTGTTTTGTGATAACTGTGCATTAATTCATGTTTTCTTTATACATTGATTTAGCAGCATATTAGCATTTAGTCTAGTTGCCATTTGACAGACACCTTGATATTTTCATTCTGTTTTTATTTCAACATCTATTTTTAGTATAGTCTTTGTGTGTGTATGTTAAAATGTTCTTTTCTACTTCTGTTTGTTTGGATGCTACTATCTCATTTGAGTAGCAACTGTAGTGGGCCATTATTAAGGCTTCTAGACAGTTTAGTGTGATTCTACTATTATATTGATAACTCACAAGACACTCTTAATTCCTTGTTGTGTCATTCAATGTATATGATGAGACTGAGTGATATCCAGGCCATTTGACTTTTCCCAGAGTGCCCTGCCTCACCCTAAGTACACTAACATAAACAACTGACTTTACCATGAAGTCGCCTAAGGGACAACCAAATAAAAAAATTCCCCCTTGGCATTTAGGCATTAGTAACCGGAGGCCCCTATAATTATAAGGCCTACATGAGATGGCCATCAGTACTCACTCCCTCCCTGTTTCCCCTTAAGAGAGACTGATGTTTAGTGTAATGGTAACAGCTGGAACTCTTCATCCTATCCAGGGTACTGCCATTGAATGCGAATTACAGACCTCTGGTGCAATTCATCCCAGGCATCGAGTTTCTTTTACTGAAATGGGAACTGTACAGTGCCACTCATGATGCTCTTTTGATGAGCCATTAATTTGCCACAAATACAGATTTACAATAAATTATTTGATGGAGCCACACACATAGTTTGACCAGTACAATGATTCATTAGTACTCTGTCAGGATCTTTCTAGAGTATTCAAAACTGCTGGTTATTCAGCTACCATTTCTGATTACCTTATTCATTGAAAGAGGAAATTTACTTTTATTTTAGAAGTTTTAAACTAATTATTTTATTGATATGATTGTTGATGTATCTTATATTTTTAGTCTAAAGAAAACTTATCCACACATGTTCAACATATTTAAGCACATAATAAATAGATGCAAATATCTACCATAATCTGGTCAAGGGTTCTAAAATAATGCATTTTTGTGAGAAAAAAAAAAAGAAAGACTTTTTAAATAGGCCAAATGAGGCGATGGACTTCTTGTGGTCGAGATTTTATCCTGAGACTCCCCTTATTATGTCGGCACTCAATTGTATCAGCACAGTCATGTATAATGAGGCTTTTAAAATTTGTTTAAACACAAATGAGGGTAAAAAAATCAACTCATCCTTACCAACCTTCCTCACCATGTGATTGCCAAAAAAAATCTTCTTGAAGAATCGTCATATACTCCTTGCTGACCCTAGCGCTAACAGATTATTCTCATCCTCTCCATTTATTGTCTTCAGATGAGATAAAAATCTATTTGACTTTCTGGTTCACAGTCACCTTTGAGCTGTCCCCTCTCACTTTGAAACTAAACCATGTTCAAGAAGCCATTGCAGGGGCTTCCGTAGGGGGACCTTTAACCATCAAAGAGGGCTTCTCGTGTATTGGTCGAAATTCAGTTGTTTGCCAAAGATGCCACTCCTGTTATTTAGGTGAAACAGGAAGAAGGCTAACTGATAAAATCAGTGAACATCTTCATGGTATATAAATTCTTAACAAGCCATTCACAGTCTCTCCCATTTCATTGGAGGTGAGCACAGGGGCACACCAGATGTATTATAATGGCTCTAATTTCTTGCACTATTAAACCAGTGAGCGCAAAGAATGAAAACAAATTAATTCAGATTTTAAGTCTCATATTGAATCAATCAGATACTCTCTTAATACTGATTCTTACTTTCTCTACATTTCTATTCTCAATTTTAGTTGATAAAAATTTTACATAAACAATAATTTTTAGATTCTTTTACCTAAATAGTACGCAATACAGAATAATGTGCGATGCATTAGGTTTTAAACAACTTAACTTCGATATCTAACAATATCATAGAGCACTCCCCGTTCTAAACAGTGAGCTACATTGACTATATTGAGATTTTCAAAATCATAATTTTTATTTATATTTTTTAAGTATCTATTTTTTTTTGTTTTGTATTGGCTGCTGAAGGAGTCAGCCAAAACGTCTGGCTTAAAATCCTTTGTTCACTATTTATTTACTTGAACTTTACTTGTATTTCTCTTTGCATGTTACATTTATGATCATACCAAAACTGACATTTACTCTGGGGAAAAAAATGACCCATGACTCTGTACAAATGACACATGATTTATTTATGTGGAAGGTTTTTTATTTTATAGAGCTTAAACCCTCTCCAGCTTTAATCTTGGGTTTGCTATGAATTGCAAATTTGAAATCCTTTTTGTTTCACAGCACTTCAGGTATGAATATTTGCTCACTATGGACTAAGCATCTACTTAATTCAGTGGTTAAAAAACTCCGACACCTATGGGGGCCTCAGTGATACTCCTATGGAGCAGTAAACTTTGAACCAATACTCTCAAAATAAACTTTATTGTTTTTTTAATTTCGGAGTTTCAGTACTAAATGATTTCAACAGTATTTTTGAGCTTGAGCATGTGACCTCAGTTTGGGAAATACTTTTTCTGGTGAAGGAATGATATGGAACAAGTTACACATGGATTGTAACAAACAATTGAAACATTTAAAAAGGGGTTCAAAATTTCTGATGGAGGACCTTACTTTAATGAATATGGGCAGCATAAAGGTCTCAAAGTTTTCACCCCCCCTCAAAATGCATTGTTTCAGTCTGTATGATTGTTGGTGTTAATATACTGTGCTTATTGCCTGTCCCCGCTGTACAGATCTGTCCAACATTGGCATTGACCCTGACAAATTGCAGCAGGATAAACCTCCTGAAAAGACTCACCGCAGGCGAGGAAGCCAAGGCAGGATCGAGTTACCCGTCCTCAGACCCATGCCCAAGTCTTTGTTGACAGACATGAAGTAAGGGAGGTTGGACTTGAACTAATTTATCTATTCATACTAGAACTAATTACTCAAATAGTATGAGTTGGCTGAAAATGAATACTGTCATTGTGCTATGCGGTAGGCCAAAAATGACCATAATTTTAGAATGATGTAGACCAATAACTCCTATTTGTTCATTTGAACTTTGTTTTTAAGTCAAATGTCATGTGTGCACATAATCCTGCAAATTCTTCTTTACAAATGCTGGGGAAACATTGTCTCACTCACTGTCCACCAGGAAAATCCAACAGATGTCTGACATACACACTGATGTTGGCAAGACGAGAGCACTGATCAGGCTAGCACTGGAAAGGAAGATGTTATCTGGCCATCTGAAGCAACTGCTGGCTGACACAGACCTTCTCAGGTGATCAGATACGTTGGTTTGTTCTCACCAGATACATTGATTGTTTTCATCGGATACGTTGATTGTTTTCATTGGACACGTTGATTATTTTCACCAGTTACACAAATGTTTCTAGTTTCTAACGGGTTTCTCCATTACTGACCTGTTCAAACTGGTTTGATGAAGCACAAAATTCTGATCATTAACTCTATAATGACCACTGATAATTGTTGCCATGTCCAGGAGCCTGTACAAGCGTTACGCCTTCCTCAGATGTGAAGATGAAAGAGAGCAGTTTCTGTACCACTTGTTGTCACTCAATGCGGTGGACTTTTTCTGCTTCACAAACACATTTCCCAACTCAGGTAGGCGGTAAAATCTTTGGATGAATCATCATCTAATCAGTCTTAAAGCATAGGACCACTTTATAAGAATCGATGGTAAATATATTGAACAAACTAAAGGCGTTATTCTGAATGCCTAAATTTCCGGATGCTGTACTTAAAGAGTTGATACAATACTGAAATCTGAGCTTGGCACCTAAGATTGTTTTGTTGTCACCACCTCAGTGGTTCCATACAGAGTACTCATCTACCCAAGCACAAAACTGGGCTGTTCAACCACCAGTGCCAATGTTTGGCTGTCTGTGGCAGGACAGTTGGGAGAAACTGGGACTATGGATGTGGCCAAAAGTCTTTTGGAGCTGACCTTTGAGGTAAATGTGTGAGTGTTGGAGCTGACCGTTCTGATAAATGTTGGTTGTAAATTACACAACTGAATCCACTTAAGTAGGGACGAATCTCACTTGTATGTCAGAATTTTGAACATATTTAGCTTTTAGAACAAAGCTTAAATAGGTAGTGATCATCTGGAAAGTGTGAGCCATTAGATCAAGGCCAAAATAGGTAGTGATCATCTGGAAAGTGTGAGCCATTAGAACAAGGTTAAAATAAGTAGTGATCATCTGGAAAGTGTGAGCCAAGAAGAGTGTGTTCACAACATATGTAAGGAATATTTACAACAGAGGCGACCATGTTAGTTTGGCTAAGACTCTCACTAGGAGGCAACTCCGTACATGACATCAGCACATTTGTGTAGTCAACTAATGTCTTAGTTGCACATTGTATAGAAGTCCTCATTCAAAGTTGCAGCTTTTATAGGTTATTTTGAGTGTTCATTTTAAGATGTGATTCCATTTGTCTTGCATCTTGAATAATTCATGTGTTTCTATTGATATCTTTACTATCTCATATTCTGTGTTTAATCCAGCAGATATTACTTAAGCATAATGTTTTCTTGTTGCAGCACAAAAATCTGGGAATCCTGACAACACTTCGCATTGGCCATGACAACAGTGGGATGATGCCAAGATGGCTGGTGGAGTATGTGTTGGTCAGAAATGAGCTTACCGGGCACACCTACAGGTGAGCTGTGCTACTGCACGTGCGTACAGGTCAATTATTATTCTAGATATTGGGTGGATATTTTCTCTCTGTCTGCCTCTGGCGTTAACAAACTCACAACACCTGTGCTTCCATATTCAATTACGTTATATTTGACTGCATGTTGACTTGCTCCCAATGTCCCACAGGTTCAACTGTGGTAGATGGCTGGGCAGAGGTGTGGATGATGGCAGCACTGAGAGACTTCTGGTAGCTGAGCTGATGCATCACACCATTGATACTGAAGGTGGGTCCCTCTCAAGTTTCAAGAGTGAATCGAATGTGTTACGCTAATCCTTGCTGATCCAGATATTCGATATCATAATTTGGCAGTGTCTTTTTTTATGTGTGTTTTTTGTGTGTGTTGAAATTTACCCTAATTTTATCAATTGTCTGCTGCCAGAAGAATATTGACAATTAAATTGTCTTTCTAGATGAAGTTGTGGTCACATCAACTCCAATTGTTCATAAGTTAATGAGACTGTTGACAATTAAGTTGTCTTTCTAGATGAAGTTGTGGTCACATCAACTCCAATTGTTCATAAGTTAATGAGACTATTGACAATTAAATTGTCTTTCTAGATGAAGTTGTGGTCACATCACCCCCAAGAACATGTTCACCAAAATCTCCTAGAAAGTCACAAGATGCTAGTGAGTGCCCGTTGTTTAACTTTAGTAACACTTACATGCACAGGCATGGAAGGATTTAGTCAGTATTTTAAGAAAGAATACTTACCACTAATTTCTCATAATGTTGACATGTTCAAATTTAAAATTGTAAGTGTAATAGAGGTATTTAACTACTTGTGTTTTAAAAAAAATTTCACGGTAAGAAAGAAATATAAACAAAACTGAATGAAAATATAATGGAAAAAAAGGACACATAATAATGAGGTCTCAGTTCTATCATTCCTCAGAACAGTCTTATAGATACAGCACATTGAGCGCATCATTTCTTACATGGCTTAAACTCAATTGTTTCCATCCCCAGATTCTGGCCTTGCTGAGATCCAGGAAAATTTGGGACAAGCTGTAAATAACTTAGTCAAACATTTCTACAAGCCAGAAAAAGAGGTCACTATAAAAATTGTTGCTTTAATTCAGTTTTTGAGGCATCGGTCATTCACCCCAATTTGTTACACATCTCGCTAGGAAAAATTCTGAATTTGTTACATATCCTGTAGGGAGAGATTCCTTTTTTTTCCTTCTTCATATCTCGCTAGGAGGAATTCCTAATTTTTTTTCATATCCTGCTTGGAGAGATTTATTACTCGTATATCCATAAATATCCTCTCAGGAAATATTCCTAATTTGTTGCACTTCTCGCCAGAACAGATTTCTAACTTGTTTGACATTATCTTAAGAGAGATTCTCCAGTTCCTGACATAATGCGTAAGCAACCAAAACAATGAGAGTTGATTTATTCATCTCAATGCTGAGTGTCACTTCTACAGATAACCCTCACCAATCAATGCTTTTTAACACTAATTTCTTACCAAAGATTTTTTTCTTCCTAAAAATGATGAACGTGACAAGTTGTGCGTTTTTTTTATTATTTCAGCGGGGTAATATAACATTTCTTCTGTGCGGTGACAAAGGCCTTGTGCATTGCATGGAGCAAGTTTTCCAATATGGCTTCAGATCGTCAAGGATATTTAGAAATAAAATATTCATATGGGATTACATGGGTGAGTCATTAAAAGAAAATACACACATTTATTAAGCCCCTTGAAGACGTAACCTTGGAATAAAATCTCAACTGTAATAATGGCCAGGGAAATAAATTTTGGATTACTCTCAATGATTTATGACTATGAAAGTCTTTCCTACATACCAGAACTAAAAATTTGTCAAATATTATTCTAAAACTTGCTCATCAACTGGTGTTTATTTGCTACAATAGTAGTTTGTTGTGAAAGAAGTAAAGAAAAGAACAACATAAAATTGCTGTAGCTTAAAAATAAAGCAGCTCAATTAGTAAATAGCCATCTGCTACAAATACAAAAACAAATGTATGAAAATCTCATCCTCATCTTTAAACCTCTCTTTCAAAATTGAAGATTGTAAACTTTCCACTAAAAAAAAAAAAAAAATAATTTTTTTCTCAACGCCTATGACTATGATCTACAGAGCGCCTGAAAGTTTTCTTTGACGGTGCCCTGGCTGGCAACACTGCCCGAACAAATACAAAAACAAATGTATGAAAAACTCATCCTCATCTTTAAACCTCTCTTTCAAAAATGAAGATTGTAAACTTTCCACTAAAAAAAAAAAAAAAATAATTTTTTTCTCAACGCCTATGACTATGATCTACAGAGCGCCTGAAAGTGTTCTTTGACGGTGCCCTGGCTGGCAACACTGCCCGTCAGTTGAACGATGTGACTAAGGCAGGCTACTGGCTGTTCAGTGACCTGGTCAATAAAATCAACACAGCGTCAGACACTGTGGGCAAAGACGGGAAGTTTCAGGTCTTCATCTGTGTTGGAATTAGGTTGGTGTTATTTTTTAGTGTTGGAATTAGGTTGGTGGTATTTGTTAGTGTTGGTATTAGGTTGGTGGTAATTGTTAATGTTGGAAATAGGTTGGTGGTATTTGTTAGTGTTGGAATTAGGTTGGTGATAATTGTTAGTGTTGGAATTAGGTTGGTGTTATTTGTTAGTGTTGGAATTAGGTTGGTGGTATTTGTTAATGTTGGAATTAGGTTGGTGGTATTTGTTAGTGTTGGAATTAGGTTGGTGGTAATTGTTAGTGTTGGAATTAGGTTGGTGGTATTTGTTAGTGTTGGAATTAGGTTGGTGGTATTTGTTGATGTTGGAATTAGGTTGGTGGTATTTGTTATTGATGGAATTGGGTTGGTGGTAATTGTTAGTGTTACAATTAGGCTGGAAGTTTTTGTTGGTGTTGGAATCAGGTTGATGGTTTTCTTAGTGTCGAAGTCCAGTTGATTTCCTTGAACTCTGATTACTGAAGGTAAAATGAAGGCAAATTTAAACTTTTTCTCATTAAATGTCAGAAATGTTAAAAAAACCAGAAAGAATGAAGTAATTTTTTTCAAATGCTTTGATTAGCCAGCAAATTTTTTTATTTGATAATTCTCATCCATGAAAAAGTAAAAAAAAAACAAATAATAGAAAATGAGTGCGTTTAATTTCTCCAGGAAACGGTGTCTGCATCGATGGCTTCCCCTGATGGCAGGCACAACTGTAACGGCACAGATGTACGAGGAGAACTCTTTCCTGCGTAATCCGGTCCACATAAACTTTGTTATGCACATACTTGATTCTCTCACCGAGTTTGACATTCCACTTGAGGCCTCTTTGCTGAGGGGCATTGACCTTGACCTTTGAACCCATGGTTTCTTGTATGAAACAGCTGAGATGAGCATTACATGTATATATGCATGCCTACCTGTTTTATTCATTCGTTCACAGATTGTTCAGAGATTGTCTTTTTTTTTTTTTTTTTTTTTTTTGTTTTTTTTTGTTTTTTTTTTTTTTTTTTTTTTTTTTTTTTTAAATTGTTTTGTTCATAGACCTGCTTGCCCTATTGTACAATATTTGATGAAATTATGCAACTGTCTGCAATATTTCTGGTGTTTTTTTTAGCATTTGTTTTCTAGTCTTTTGAACAAGTACCAATGATTAAATCACAGCTAGGCAACAAAGAAAAAGTTCATAACACAATTATAATTGAGTTTTAATAAGTTAATATTAACTCAAAAATGTTTTGGTGCGTTACATTCACTGGTGACATGATACAACCCAACACCCCCCCCCCCCCCCCCCCTCTCCCCTCCCCCCCCC